GAGGGAGGGAGGGAGGGAGGGAGGGAAGGAGGGAGGGAAGGAGATGATTTTCCCAAATGACTTAGGTTATCTTTTATTTTGTTTGAAACAAAAACATCACATTTTTTCTTTTGTTTAAAGCAAAAACCTCATATTTGATCGATACCTACACTCAGATTGGTGAGCTACCTAGAAAAACATCCACTTCAACAAAAGCACACAACTCAGTTGAGTAACAACAAACGTGTATATGGAGACATTTCGGGTGGCCCACAAAGGATCCCTCTTTTCTTGCTAAAAATCTGATTCCATTCAAAAACTAAAATTAACCCAGTTGGGTTCATAGAGCCCAGAGAAAATATAAAATTCAATTTCCCCAGAAGAACCTAGATCTTGCTAGATACCATCAACTTGAATTGTTTTGCTTAGCTCAGACTGAAATTAAAATTATTTTTGGAATCAAAGCAGACTTCACCCATCCTGCCTAAAATGTTAGACTATTTCTTTCATGGCCTTAAGTATGTTCTTTTCCATTAAGCAGCTGTAACTTCCCAAATCTCTTTACAAAACTCATTCTCTGGATGAAGGCCACAGTATGGTGGCCTCCACGCCAAAGCCGGCATCAGCAGTGATGAGCATCCCCATGCCCCAGGTGAGAACTGTCAGGAGTCAGAACTGGGTGTTAAAAAGAAGATGCTCTGGATTGCTCCCCACAGCACTCAGTCTCGGGTTGGCCCAGTGCCCAATGGCAGGCCCAGTCCCTTTCCATCCACCTAAGAATGTCATCAGAAGTCCAGGAACATTTCTGCTAAGTCCGTAACACCAGCCATAATTCTTATGTCTCATCCAATGTATGTCCTGTCTTCCTGATTTTAGTTAAAGGCTTCTGTTAATCATAATTGGGTCAGTTTCTCCTTTGTTGAGCAAATCAATCCTTCAAGCTGTCACTATTAATATGAGACAGCCTTTCTAAAGCTTCTTATTAAATTGCAATGTACATTCTTTCAAGCACTGCTGGATGTAATCTAATATCTACCAACCTCCAGATATTCCATTTATTTCCAACTATTTCTTCCATCTCATTTATCCCTTAATTACCTAGTTTGGGGAACCATAAACGTCAAAGAAATGTAATGAATGAACGAAGGTTCCATTTCTCTTTGGGGGAGGAATCAAAAGAATATCGGATCTATATACCTAATACACTAAAGGAAGAAAACTGGGCCAACCTGCAATTTTTACCTCAAGGTCATGAGTCAATGGAGTCCAGAGTATAAAGTTGTTTCTGTGCGACTAGGCAGTTTTGTTTCAATTCCGTGTGGACTAATATATGTCCCCCATACAAACACACACACACACACACACACATTCGTGTATGTGCAGACATACACACCCACCTATCCACACACAAACATGCCCCAGAAAATCTGCACCTCCTTTTTATTTCCAGATTAAACTGGACCTGAGGAACTCATTATCAAATGAAGCTTTTAGATTTACATTTTAAAATCTTAGATATGAATTCCTTAATCTTATGGAAAAGCAAGGGAATTAGGAGTTATTCGTAAGTGCATTAGAGAAGGTATGCAAACAAAGCCAATCACTTTTGGCATTTGGGCAAATCCAAGAGCTTTAACAGTAGCTGGGGATTATCAACAAATCCCACTATCATGTGCATATGTTAATATGTACGTGTGCTTAATATAAAATGTGCTACAAAACACACTCCTATATCAACACCACGTGTATTCTGTACTAGGCACGCCTGCCTGCTCATTGCTGGGAGAGGGACTCATTCAGATTACACACAGCACGTTCCAATACTCAATACACCCAAACCCTAGAGTACTTCCACCTGTTAATTCTGCGCAAAAATGAGGATGCACCTGACAAATGGCACATATTTATGCCAGAAAATACAGGAGAAGGAATACTCCGCTGCCCCATGCAGGAAGCTTTGGTCTCTCCTCACCTTCCCAGTGGCTCCGCCTGGAGGTCACCTGCCAGACAGCTGTAGAACATGAATACTAGTCGGCGACATCACCGAAACACACAGAACAGAAATTCAGGTATGCCCTCTAGCACTTCCCCTCCTGCCTCACGTGACAAAGTGGGTAAACCGAGTCAGTCTCCCTTGAGCCGGGAAGAAGGTCTCTCAGCACTGCACAGTGTGAGAATCCACGACAAAAGCCATTTACCAGAGCCCTGCCTGGGGATTCTTTATTCTCTGAATAAAGCAGTGCCTTGGATCCCATCTTGCTCTTCTTTGGGCAAACGTTCTAGCCGGATGTCACTGCCTATCAAACTGCTGCCGTGTGATTTTTTAGCAAAATCACGTAATGTTTTTTTCAGAAAACAGACACAAAAACTGAAAAAAAAAAAAAAAAAAAAAAAAGGTCCAGAAAAACTGTGGACACTTTTGCCAACAACACAGCCCCAATCTCCGCCCAGCTGTGGTGACATGCAAGCCCGTTGGCAGGTCTTCCGGATCTCTCTCCTGGGCGCTGGGGGAGGGCAAGAAAACATTCCTTCCAGGCCAGTGGACTCCCGTCCGCTTTGCTCTCCGCTCAAAAACCTGTGCTTTTGTCCATTCTGACCATCTTATAACCAGCCCTGGCTCCCAGACCTAACACAAATAATCAATGATTCATCCCAGTTCTCTGCCACACATTTAGTAATTCACAGAGTAATTGATCCTACTTCTCAGTTTGTAAATACCTCGGTCACATATAACTATCTCTGCAGGGAAGGATTTTGTTTTGTAAACTGTGGTTATCCTAACTAACCATGACATTGACTATTTAATTGAATTGGCTAGGTGCTCCCAGGGAATACTTCAGGAGTGCGCCATCTCTACACAAACCGAGGTCCTGGTATGAACTATAAACGGCAGAGAGAATAGGCAAAATGATTCTGAAGTCAGCTTAAAAAGTTGAAAAAACAAACACCTGCTATGCCTTTTCTAAAACCTGTTTGTGAGGATCCCTGAACCTGCCCTCCTGGAAGAAAAGCAATTAATTTTTCAGATTACTCCCATCCTGAAAGCCTTTTCATGCAAAGGCATTTGATGGTACCCGAAAGCACTCATTTCCCATTCCCTAACACCAGCAGCTCCTGTTAGGCAAAGGCCGAACCAGTCAATCTCTGGGGGACCACAAGCCAGGACCTCTACCCCGAGAGCAGCCCCCATTCCCGGCTCTTCGGGTGCATCGCCTGGCCTGTCGAATGGCTCTGTAGAGTCTACACTTCCTTCAGAGCCATGAGTTAGCCTGAAATATCATGTGAGCTAGACATGACATTAAGTCAAAAGAAAACTTGAGAGACTTTAGAAAATGGGCATATAAAGATACTTACCTTAGCAGGGATTTCCTTAAGTGACAAGTTGAGGGATTTTATCCGCTCCTGGAGGCTAGAAGAATTAGAAAGAGGACATTGGTCTTCTTGGAATCATAGTTCCATACCACCACATAGAGGAACACTGAAACAGTGAACTTCCCATCAGCCTAAAGGCTGAAGAACAGTGGGAAAGATGATGCCAAATTGGTTCCATTTGACTGTGGAATAACATGTTGCTAGGAAGCAGATTTCACCTCCCTAATGATGCTCTACTTAGGCTAGTGCTTAAATCTGTCCTTTCCATAGTGAACATCTCCATAGCACATGGATAGGGTAAAGGAGCAACCCAGATGTCCTGGCAGCAAAGGATGAAAATTCACATTCCTATAACTACCTTCCAAGAAGGATGGTCTACACGGGGTAGCATTTCACGGGCAGTAATCAAATATTATCTATTCAGGTCCACTGTGTAATCCAACAAATATGGATGGATGACAAATGGATGAAACTAAGAATCAGATCTTATTCTCAATGTTGTTACCTAAAAGAGAGGAAGTACACGCAGACAATCAACTACGATATGAAGCAAGATGAAAAAAATACTATTGGGAAGAGGAACCCAGCGCTAGGATCAAACCGCTACCTAAAAACTGTCACAGGCAGGGGCACCTGGGTGGCTCAGTTGGTTAAGCCTCCAACTCTTGGTTTCGGCTCAGGTCATGATCTCGGGGTCGTGGGATAGAGTCCCACAGTGGGCTCCACACTCAGTGCAGAGTCTGCTTGAGATTCTTTCCCCCTCCCTCTCCCTCTGCTCCTCCCCCTGTTCATGCACGCTCTCTCTCTCTCAAATAAATAAATAAAACCTTAATTTAAAAAAAAAAACCTATCACAGGCAGATACTATCTCCAAGGGCACAGTGGAGACAGTAAGGTGGGTAGCAATTTAGAAAACTATGGGACTAGTGGGAGAGCTTCCCGAAAGAGGTGGAAAGTGAACAGGGCCTCAAGGGAAAAGAAGGAAGAACAAAACTCCAGGGAAAAGATGAGTGCAACTGGACCATATCATTCACAGAGGTGAACTGTGATGGACGAGAAGGGGAAGGATTGTTTCTAATGGGAGTGGGGGAGAGGGGTAGGACAGAAGGGAGAAGTCTGTCCACATCTGCAAGGTGTGCTTGTTTATTTAGGAAAATAAGGCCGGGGGGGGGGATGCTAATATTTGTTTAATCTCAGTGGTGGGTAAATGAGTATGTATTTTTCAGTGTGTTTAAAATAGTCACAATCAAAATAATTCTTAAAGGAATATCAAGGACAAGTGTCGTCAATACTGAACGCTGGGCTAAGGAGTTCTGAGTTTTATCCCACAGGCAATGGGAAATTATTCTAGTTTTGAGCAGGAGAGCAATAGGAAAGAAATAGGGTTTTTCGGAAAATTAACTGGGCAGCCTATGAGAGGGGATTTGGAGTAGTCAGGCAGGCACCTTCAGCAGAAGCCCAGCTGCAAGGCCCAAGGGCAGCACAGAGGGACAGAAGTCCAAAAGGAAAGGAAGGTGGGGATCCTTTCATTACATTGATGCTGAAAAACAGTGAAAACATATGCTCTGGGTCTTTTCATTCATTCATTCATCCATCCATTCATTCATTCATTCATTCATTCACAAACTCATTGTGAATATCTCCTGGGCACCTAGTAAGTTAGGAACTCAGAGCATAAGGACCTGGTTCTTGCCCTCAACAGCTCACTGCTTCCAAACAGTAGCCCAAATGAAAAAAATTTAAAGGAAAAAAAAAAAGGTATAGGTACTAGAAGAGAAAAGGTCACTTAGCAAAATGGTGAGCTGCAAATGCAGGGAAGGTCAGGTTTTTCTGGGGTCTGTGTGGGGAGAGGGGTCAGGAAAAGCTTCTCTGGCAGGGGTCGCATAGTATCCGAGGGAGGTGGCCAATTTGCCCTTTGCTGGGGTTCTTCAGCTCTAAGAACTGGTTTTGAACGTCATCACCTCGACCAACCTGTGACTTCTGAGCACAAGCAAGTTCGTTTCCATTGCAAATGACCTGGAGCTGGGGCAGGTCCCTTCTAAACAAGTCATCCCCACTTCAGACCAACATTCAGCGGAGGAGGGGCACCGCACTGAGCTGAGGTCAGATTACAGCTGACAAAGAGCAGGGCACACCGTGGCAGCAGGATTTTCTGAATTCAGGAGTCACGATAGGACAAACATCAGTGTGCTTGGTGGGAACAGTGGGAACGCACATGTGGAATCCTGCCTGCAGAATTGCAGCCCGCTGGATGGAGGTTGGATCCTTTGAAAGGAGGTGAGTTTGAGTGTCATGCTAACATGGAGAGCAGGGAACAGACCCAGCCACTGGAGGTGCTAGGAAGAGAAGAGCAGAGGGTGTCCAAGATGCGCCGGTACCCATTCGACCTCTGATTCCAGAAGCAACTCTAGCTTCGTGCTGCTCATGTCTGTTGTCCACACTTCAAACTTCCCGTGGTTCTGCAGAAATGCACTCTCCCTTGCCAGGCAGATGGGAGTCCATGCAACTAATAACTTTTCAGGAAACAGTTCACCACAGAATTAATCCTGTATGATGAGCATTGAATAGTATTTTATAAGTAAGTGTTCGCGGCCACACACAAAGACTAGTTCATGCATTAACAATGAAGATAGATAAGTGGTCGGTCCACTTACTGACCCTGAAAATTCAGCTGGCCAAATAGCAGTGCCTTTAACTCACGCTCAATAGGTCAAGAACCAGCCTTCCAGGGGTTGACGCAATTTGCTGGTCTTGGCTCGGCTCGGGTCCTAACCCAGAAAGAAAACGAGTCTCCTCTCAAATATCCATGTTAGAGCAGGGAAGCAGTGATGCAGATAATTGAATGCATTGTTTCATATTTGATTTGATTTATATTTAATTTATTTAATTTATGCTGTATTACTTTTTGCAGTAGATTTACCTTCCTAATTATGTTTTGCTCAGGCTAATATTAACATTAGTTGCATCCCTGGGGTATACACAGAATGAAAGCAACAGGAGGCAGAAGGATGTGAATAATCTACATACCAGGCTAGTGGTTTTCAAGCTATTTTTAGTAGCAGAACTCTTCCAGACAAATTGTACATAGAACTGCAATCTATATATAAAATCCATAACAAGGGGATCCGGTCTGGCATGGGGTACAATGTCACTCTGACCCCACCCACTCAGTGCCCCACCATCACCCTGTGGCCCATGAACCAAGATTCCAGGACGAGGAATTCAAATTAAAAACCACTGAATTAGATAAGTTAAATGTTTAAAAAAAAAAAAGTTACACACATTTCAATGATTAAAACTAATCCCCATGTTTCTTTTAAGCTTGTGTATTTTTTTAAACGTGCTTTTTTTTTAAGATTTTATTAATTTATTTGTCAGAGAGAGAGAGAAAGAGCACAAGCAGGGAGGGTTGCAGAGGGAGTAGCAGAGGGAGAAGCAGGCTCCCCGCGGAGTAGGGAGCCCGATGTGGGGCTTGATCCCAGGACCCTGGGATCACGACCTGAGCCAAAGGCAGACGCTGAATGACTGAGCCACCCAGGCGTCCCAAGCTTGTGTATTATTAACGACACATGAGAACTGTCTTCTCAGATCAAATACACTGATGCTAGAAGCACCTACACTGTCTCCACAAATAATGTCTTAGCAAATACATCAGACCTAATTTACTCCAATTGAGTATCTTTGTGCAAAGCAGCCGTCCGAGGACTAGCAGTGCCAAACATTTATTGAGCGCTTACTGTGTACCAGGCCCTCTTCTATATTCCTTACATACATGAGCATTTTAAATTCTCACAACTCTGTGCAGTAGGCACTATAATATCTACTTTTTCAGACAAGAAAGCTCAGTCAGCGAGAGATTTAAGTAACTGTCCCAGGGTTAACCAGCTTGTAAGGGGGTAAATGATGACCAGGCAGTCCAGCCATCTGTTCTCCTAACCACCAACCAGTACTGCCTCTCCTGGAAGCCGAGTCCTTGTTCGAAACACGCTCTCACTGTCCAGCCTGACTTCCAGAATCCTATTTTAGAATTATGTTAAATTTACTGTACAATCGCTATCATTATTTGTAAACGCACGTTATTCCTTACTCACAAACTGGTGTTTAAATCATATGACCAAAATGCACCTTCAACAAATGAAGCCTTGGAGAAATCAAGACTGTCAACAAGAACGTGCAGCAGAGAAAGCACATCAGGGGCAGATGGGCCTGGAGCTGGTGGTGGCAAAAGAACTCGAGGGCAAAGGGGTCACTTCTGAGTTGATTGTGTCCCTCTCACCCCGATTCATTATGTTGGTGTCCTCATCACGGGATCTTATTCACAGACAGGGTCTTTCCAGAGGCGATCAGATTAAGGCAAGGGCAGGGGGGTGGAACCTAATCCCACATGCCTGGTGTCCTCATGGAAAGGGAAAATTCGGATACAGACACACACACAAAGGGAGGACCACAGAGGGAGAACACAGGGAGAAGACAGCCAGGAAGAGCGGCCTCGGGAGAGACTAAAGCTGCCGACACCTTGCTCTTAGACTTCTAGCTTCCAGAACTGTGAGACAGTAGATTTCTGTCATTGAAGCTGCCCTAGTCTGTGCTACCTCGTTGTGCTGCCCAAGCAACCGAACCCATGGGGGGTTTTCAATTTTCAACTCAAATTAACATGCAATTAATCATATGTGTTATAAGATCCTACATACTGGTACTCCGGGGTCCAACCAAAAAAGAAAGTCACTTCTCCATGGCAGCAGGTGGACAACAGACAACCTGATAGCTCTTTTGTTTGCTTCAGACTAACAGACGGTTCCATCTGCAACTCACCCAAGTGGCAGAGCAAGAGGCTACGACAGGTATGTGCAGAATGCAAACATTCTTACTGGTAGCGTGGGAGCTAAGGATTTGAGGGGCGGCTATCAGAAAAGTTTATATAAGGGGACTCCTGGGTGACTTCATCAGTTAAGCATCCGACTCTTGATTTCGGCTCAGGTCATGATCTCAGGGTCTTGAGATCAAGCCCCAAGTCAGGCTCTGTGCTCAGCGTAGAGTC